AGGATCTCAGCCTGCTGTATTCAATCCAAGGTTCTATTTCAATTGGACACCTAGACAACTGGGACCACGCCCTCACCGGTCTGGTCGCAAAGGAGGCAGACATGTCACTACAGTCATTTCTACACCTCTAGTTTCAAAGGTCATAATTTCAAAGGTCAAAGCTACTGACAGCTTTGATTTGTTGAGGGAAAGTTTGCAACGCTACGTGAGATCAGCAACGCTGACTTTTGAACTTCATTTGTTTTTTTTTTAATATCATTAAAAAAAAAGCTGTCGAGACCATCCATGATCTTGTCATCTGTTTTTGGTCTAAGAAACATGTCACGGAAGACACACGGGAAGAGGCCCGTGGAGAAGTGCTGAGGTACCCAGTCTATAAAACTGGCCTTCCAGTGAAGTCAGGGGAGAGACTAGCAAGGTTTCTGAAGCATCGCATAGACCCCACTCCTCTGGGTGTTTTTGTTTCTCAGCTGAGTTCCAGTCTCTTGTTTCTGTACCTGAGTGGTTTAAAGTCTTCCTCACTAATGATGTTGCTCCCATTCTTCTCTAACAGCCCATTTTTCTCCTTATCTTTCCTCTTAGCTCAAGGTCTCCATCTTTCCAGCAGGTTAGATTCCAGATCTCAGCCATGTGGCTGATTTGTGACAGAATCCTCAACATTCTGCATGCTCTTTGTTCTTGGTAATTCCACTCAGAGTTCTTGCTTTATATTGCTATGTCAAATATTTAGGCCTGAACACGACCGTTGGAGCATCAGTAATGAGATGAAAATTGGAAGCGCAGACATTTGCTGAATAAATGATAAACATAGATGAAATGGAATATTATGCACTCCTTTCAAATGATGTCAAAGATTAATGACATCTTAACATCCCTAATGTATTATTCAGCAGAGATAAAAAGAGAGTTATAGATAGTATCATCCCATTTTATTAAAAATATGTACATATGATATTTTCCCCAAAGACTATTAGTATATACAACAAATGTAAACAATGGTTGTCTCCAAATGATAAGATCAGAGGTGATTTTTTTATCTTTGTAATATTTATTTTTTTTCTTATCTATTTTGTGAATTTATTTTTTGCTTGTCTGTATTCTCTCGTATAAACACATGCACACAGTATAATTTAAATTTTAGTTTAAAAATAAACTATCCTCTGATTAAAGTATAACTGGCTGTGCTCCAAGAGGGACTGAACTGAAGAAGGAATCAGAGAAGTGGCAGAGAGTTCCAAGGTTAGCCACACGAAGGGTTTGGGTCCAGTGGCTGAGAGGAAGCATGGTTGGGAAGGAGGGAAGGGCAGGGAAGGGTGAGCTAAAAGGTCTGTGTCATGCAGCTCCATAAAGAAGGCAGCGGGGAGAGCCAGCCAGCCCTTGGGTCTAAAAAGGCTCTCTTACCAGGCAGGGAGATGTGTCCCTGCAGTGACCCAAAGGAAGAAGCGACTTCCCAGTCTGGCCTGAGGAATGGGGGCAGCATTTCCTAGGGAAGCACCGGAAAAGGATACTAACGAGTCCTGTAAGGCAGGAGTGTCCATGTGTCTGTGATAGTTTGTGACTTGGAAACTAGAACAGAACCAGTGTTAAAAGCCCGATTTCTGAAGGGAAGAGAGGTCTGAACAATAGAAAATTTGGACTGTTGCCAGGAAATTAGTCTAGGGAAAAACAAAATTATCCAGGAAAAATCCACTTGAACTGAGTTACAACCCTGTTTTGAGATTGTGGAAGTCAGTGTACTGACCAATCTGTATCCATGACAGACCTGGGACCAGACGGTCCCCCGGGTACTACAGGTGAGCAGAACAATGGGCCTCGGTGTTCTTTTGAACATTATGAGAGGTTTGAAAGAGTCTGTCAAAAAAAATTATACTAATAACATTACTGGGAAACTTGGATTACACAGAAAGTTTAAGAGAGAGGTGTAATTACTTTTACCAAAAAACAATTTACCAAAATGGTATTTTAAAAGGAGATAGAATATAATACTAGCTAACCTCTAGCAGGCTGATGTAATAGAGTAAAAATGATCTTTTGAATCATAATAGAAAAAAAAGAAAGTCCAGAGATTTAATTTAATAATGATAGGTAAATCATCTGGGGAAATTGGAAAAGCACCAGAATAAAAGTCAAAATATGACAGTGACTGGAAAAAAATTAAGTAAATAAATAAATAAAATCTCTACTGGAACCTAACCCATTCCTAAATTAACCAGTGAGTGCTTACATTTAAGGAAAAACACAGAACAGTGAGCCCTAGCAGACAATACTTGGCAAGCTAAACCAACAATCTGATCTGGTATGACAATTCCCATGAGTTTGTGTTTAAAAACTCTGAAGGTCTTGAAAGTCAGCTCTGTTGCCCAGACCCGCAGGCTAGAATGACAGCCCCAAGTGTTGCTGGGTTATCAGCCACCAAAGAAATGGTGCATCCTTCATGCTTTGGATAATCCTCTTAGAATGGTGGCAACAGCCAATGTTAGACTTTAGGAAGAACTTTCAGTCATGGAAGTAGATCAAAGAGGTTTTCTATAATTGTTTTTCTTTCAGCATAAAGCTTCATCTGACAAGAAAATTACGTAAACCAGAACATACTTCATCTGTTAATTTATTCTTGTTTTCAATCACTCAACAAATGGTTACTGAACAGGTATTCTGCACCAGAGACAGTGCTAGTTGTTAAGAATAAAGAACAGAGAACAGTGTGTGCCCTCATGGAGACCTCGGTCTAACCAAAGATACTTGCCGATTGGCTGCTTTCATGAAACACACCACCGATATTAAATAGGTGAGAGTCAAATGGAGCTGATCTCACCAATTCCCCCAAGTCAATATTTTTATTCCTTGTGCAATGTCACCGAGGTACCATTAATATGAATGTTTCCCAATGACAGTGTGCTGGCTATCTTCTATTTGTCCCTCCACGCCCACTCTCCATCCCTTTCCATTCTACTCTGCCTAGAGAGCTGGCCTATGCACCCTCCGGCTTTTGGTCTTGGTCAGACAATGAGAGGTGTGGCAGGAGATGAATAAACGAGGAGAAGGTAAGGTTGGGTGTTTGTTTCTCCAGCTCCCAGCGTTCTCCAAAGACCAACAGGGAATCCTCTCCAGACACTGCCCTTCCTGCCTGAGGGTGAAATGGCTCCCACTATTGGTAGTCTGGGGTACTGCACCATTCCTCTTGGTTTCCTAAATCCTCCCCACACCCTGGTAAACAAACACTTCTTTCATTAACCTCCCTCTGAAAGTGACCTAGATTCAGGGTACCATCTGTTTCATTCCTTTCCAATACAGAGGGGAGAAACAGCTTCTTCGTTAAAGGGAAAAACAAGATATCTATTCCAGGGTATTTCTTGGACCAGTATTAACAGAATACTTCGAGGGAGCCTTAATTCAAATAATCCTTTGATCATAATTGTTCTTTTTCTGATATGTAAATCAGTAGCACTTATGAGAGGTTAGTGGATCATAGATCTTAAAACCTTTCTTTTTCTTTCACCACCTAAGAAGCTGTCAACACACTAACTTCACGGCATCACCAAGTTTTTAGCCAGTGCAACCCCTCGACCCACAGCTGGGAACTGTGGTCTTCACCTTCAGGTTCAACCTGGGGGTAGTTCCCACAGCAGATCCTGACCTCCAGCATCAGCACTGGGCATCAAGGCTTGTTGGTTCTAGTCCGGCTGTGACCTTGTGCTTCCTCCTTACTCTAGCACCTCTCCATCCACTCTCTCTGGGCCTTGAAGTCCTACTTTAACCAACACCCCTCCCAGGAATCCCACAGCCCATGGGGCAGTGACTGGGACCTGGCTCTCTGCTAACCAACCACCAGAGCTAACTGCCAGTGGGGCTGGTTTCTGAATAGTGCCTGGTGTGAACTTCCAGACTGGCCTTCATGATGAACCACACCCACTCTCGGCATAAAGAAATAACGCACTTCTGTAAATGCCAACTCGTACTCAGTGGCTTCTCTGTGCTAGGTACTGTTCTGGGTCCTGGAGAGACTGGTTTCATACTGCATTTGGACAGTAGAAATCAACAAATGAATTCTACTTTTGGTAGCTAAAGGAAGTGGGGTAAGTTATGCATAGAAGCCTTAGCTTTAGTTTGGTTTCTTCCCTTCTCCCTTGTACATTCTATCACGTCCCCTCTTGTTTCTGTTAAAGATAGTTTGCTTTCCCTTAATAGATAAGGAAAACAATTGTATTTTTAAATGATTGTATCCAAAGATCTGATCCTGCTATAATTCTAGAACTACTGTTTACTTTCAGAGACCACAGGGCTACAATCACCCAAATTCGACTGTCAAACTCTCACGATGTCGACTGCAAATATATTCAGTATTTTGCCCACTTCTACATAATGAGGATATTTCTGTCTTTTCACCAACTATACAAACTAGCCCTGATTTGCTGAGATGGATTTAACAAATTCTTTTGAATAAAATAGCCCCTACAACAGCTTTACTAACAGGTTGCTGTCCATTTAACAGATTTTAAAGTTTGACTTAATAAAGCTGTTTGGAAAAAATTTTTATGTGCCATTTGAGTGCATTTTTTGGGTTGCTGTTGCTTCTTAATTCTGTAACTGATGATTTGGCTTTTATAGCCCCTTATTTTAAGTTTTCAGGTAAAGGTAAGTGGTGGTAAAGAGGGTTTTCCAGCTATTGGTTCACAAGCTGGGGATGGCAACGGTGCCAGACCTGGAGTCTACTGAGTTCACAGGGCTACGAAAAACATTAGCGAGGGGTTTCCGCATCCCCTAGGATGAAAATAACTGCTCTATGAATGGGAGACTGGCCTGAGAGTGAACATGTCAAGAGCATCTACTCTGAAGTTAGAAGCACCAGGAACAGGAAACACCACTCCTGACTCGTGTTCCATTACTTTAATCGCTCAGCATGCCTTGGTTTAAGCTAAAGAGATATAATGGTGCATTTGACATATGCCTTCACATCAAGATTAGATAGGAGTGCTGGAGGTCTGACGTTGCACCTTTCTTACCTTCTGCCGAGAATGTCACTCAAAAAATCTCTTCTCCCAGCTCCTCTCTTCTGACTGAAATTCAAAGCCATTCTTACTGCAGCCCAACGGTCTTCCCAGGTGAACCCGGCTTTACATGAAACACCTGTGTGTAAATAAAACAGTAGCAATTCAAGTTGTATTCTAAGTACACCACAGGGATCTCAGTGATGAAAACAGAACACCGAAGCAAGTGCTTTCGTGGGCAGATCACCTCCTTTGTGATGTAAACTATAAAAACATAGATAAAGCATCCAATGGACCTAAGTTTAGATCTTTACATATTGGGCTTCGTTAAAGCAGAACATATCTGTAAGTGAAAATATTTTAAGCCTCCAACCTTTGCCCATCATAATGGTTTTTAAAAATCTCATTACAGTAAAACCCATTAGTTTGAATAATTAAATACAAAAACAGATGCTTTCTGCAGGCATTGAAATTTCTGATTTTAATGGGGGAAAATGCAACTGAATGCCTTGTTTTTAAGCTTCTATTTCAATCTTGTTTTAAAACGGTGAAGAGCAGAAGGACTAGCGCGACGTCGCAAGGGCACTGCCGAGCGGGAAAGTGCCTGCGTGAACTCGGCCAGCACCTCAGCTCAGGACCATAGAGGCAGGGATGGAGGTTCGGGGTATGAGAGCTCCATCACTTGGAGAACGGTACCACTAAGCGGTCAACATGTGTTACCTTATTTCCATCTTTACCACTATGCAGGTGTTATCCTCCTCAGTTCTACAAAGAAATCGAAGCTTGGGAACGTGTCCATCATCACCCATGTTCTAAGCAGAGGTCAGAATGCAAACTCACATCTCTGCATCTCAAATAAGGGTTCTTTAACCCCTCTGCCTGCTATTAAGGTGAAACTGAAATGGTCAGTAATTGTACCTTTTTGACGCACAAAGATGGAATTTCATGTGCTTTAGCTAAAACCTCTCTACCACACAGCAACCCAAGGAGGAAAAGGCAGCGAGGAGCCCCGGGGACCTGAGCGTGTTTCGTAGGCCAGAAGGAGCCCAGATAAATGCTGATTGTCCCCTCCGTTCCGACTGCCTTCATGCCCCTCTCACCACACTTGGTTATACTTTGTACATCCTCTTTTATTCAAGAATCTTTAAAGGGTAACCTCTGCACTCCAGGTCCTGTGCAAAGTGCTAGAGATACCAACCTGAGTACACGTTTGTCCTGGACCTTGAGAAGCCTGCAGCCTTAGTCTTCAGGGAACAAATCAAGAGCATATAAATTTCACGAGCAGAAAATCACTTCTGGGATGGATCCAGCGGCTTCCGCATGTGTGGTGATGGCCATGCTGACTCAACACGGCCCCTTGGAGGGAAGGTCGGGGAGGGCAGCCGGCCACTCTGTCTCTCCTTTAGGACCTCCTGACGTGCAGTCTCTTCCCCCTGGTGGTGACAAGTACCAGGTGACACGTGGAGCAAAGAAAGGAAAAGACTAGAACACAAGACAGAATGTTTGTTGCTCATTCCTCATCTCACTTGTCACTCTTAAAAACCCACCATGTCATGGCTCAAGTGAAGCCACAGTTTATTTCCTGGGAATTTGAAGCCCCACAGTGGGGCTTCTACCACTAAGATTGCATTTAAATTTTGCCAAATCCCACCAAATGAAACAATTTGGAAGAAGCTGAAAGTCAATGAGGTTTAGCATACACACCCACAAACTTGTGTGTTCCCTCAGAAGAGTTTACTAGAGCGAGTTAATAGTTCATGTAGCTTTAAAGCAAACTCACTAGCAAACTAACCAACTCAGTTACTTCTGCTAGAGCATTGCCTCACAGAACAGTGGTGGTATGTGCCCGCCGTGTGTGAGAGCTCACACACACTTCACAACCTTGAAATGTTTTTCTGCAGGACACAGTCTTTTCAGATGTTATCAAGCAGACATTACATTTAGTCAGTTGTTGTGTTTCGTGAAGAGCAGAAAACAAACTCACCTTGAACATTCTGGGAAATGTTTTGTTTAGTGGAGACAAATCCTTCACTTACGGCTAGCCCTTAGTCCTCATAAACAAACTCTCACTTACCCTGAACATCGAGGTGGCAAGTCATGGAGTTGGAAATTATTAATGATCACTAAAGGCTGGTAGTTATTGATGACATTTGAGAGAGCAGGATTAAAATAATAATTGTAATAATGTGAGGTGTTATGAACAAACAGTAATTGCAATAATGATCACTTATAATAATGAGAAAGAAAATGACTTTAGGTTATTAAATCAATAAGGAACACAGAAGCCTGCACGTGTATACACACAGGGTGAGCAAAAGTAGGTTTACAGTGGCAAGTAAGCAAAATACAGAGTTTAATCTTATATTACTGTTTGTGAATTTATTGTATTATTTTCCATATAAACAACTGCAAACCTCCTTTTGTCCCACCCTGTATCTGGATGATTGTGGAAAGTTGCCACATAAGAATAATAGTCACTCTTGACTGAAGACTTACTATGTGCCAGGTGCTGTGCCCAAGACATAACATGCACTGTCTCCTTTAATTCACAGTGGCTCTGTGAATAGATATTACTGTTAGTGTGATCATCATTTTCACGCCAAGAAAACAGAGGGTTCAGAGCAGGGGGTCAAACTCATTTTCATCAGAGTCCACATCAGCCTCGCAGTTGCCTTCAAAGGGCTGAATGTAATTTCAGCTCCTTAACAGTTAAGGAGTAGTTACGTTTATACAGCCCTAAAATTATTTCGGCCCTTTGAAGGCAACTGCAAGGCTGATGTGGACTCTGATGAAAATGAGTTTGACACCCCTGGTTTAGAGCAGTTACCCAGTTTGATAACAGCACCCTAACAGCTCAGCAGTTGGTAAGTGGAGTCAAGAAAATCTCAATCTGGTCTAGCTGACAACAACATCTACGCGCTTCTCCAGTGTTCTATGGTTCCTGAAAATCAACAGCTCTATTCTGATATCTAGGGCAACCCTGACATCTGCAGAACCGCTGCGTCCCCGCAGGATGAGTCTGACTGATAACTCACGTCAGACTCAAGAGTCCCAGCTGCCACTTGGATCTGTCCACAGAGCAGTGAGGCCGGCCCGACAGCAACCAGCCTTCAGAGCCGTCCGGTGGAGACACAGAATTTCTGTAAGGAGGAGGAACTGGGCTTTCCTCCTCCTCTAGGCTGAGGATAAAGCCTCATAAAAATGTGCCTCGTTGGATTTTCTTTTTTAACAGAGTCGTGACCTAAGCCACCTCTTGACTCTCTTTATGGGCAAGTGACAAATTCACCACGATGCTGGAAAAACGCTGTGTGTTTGTCCACATCCGTGTTGCCTTAAGAATGGGAGTGAGGCTGTAACTTCATCATAAATATATCCATTAAAGACCAACATTCCGCATCCTGTGGTGATTCCTTTTAATAGTGGCTCTCCCAGCTTCTATATTTGAAAGATGCCAGTTATTATTTTTCCTGATTTGACAATAGGATAATCGGATTGTTGTTTAATGTCTTCTCTAACCCAGAGTTACTTATATATCAACCAAGGTTATCTGTGTCGCAATGAATCACAACAAAATCACAATACTTTCCCGAAGCCTGTGTCAAGCATGATTTAGACCTGGTTGGCTGCTCGGGCAGAGGATCTCGCGTGGCGCTCAGAGTCATCACTCGGAGAACCACTTGTCACTGTGCAGGAAACATATGGCCACGGAGCACCGGACATGGGCTTTCGGATCAATGGGCACTTGCACCTGACTTTGAAAAATGACATGTGGGAACTAATAAGAGCTCCAAATGGTTGAACATTCACTTTAATGCAAATAAAAGATAACCTTTTTTACTAACAGCACAATAGTGCCCCCGTCCCCCTCGTGAAAATATGAGTACATTCTGTAGCAAATGGGCCTAAGCTGGAGTGACAGACACTTCAGGGCCATCCCGGTTCCAGGTTGTGCAGCCAGCCCGGTCTGGTGCAGTCCCACATTGCAGGGTGGGGGCAGAGTTCTTCTCCTTAGAATGTATTTCCAAACCAAGGCATGGAGAAAAATCAAAGCGCCTTTTGTCTGGAAACTATGGTGAGCCATAAAAGAGGGGGGTTCTCTGGGATGAGGACACACTACTTGGCAGAGTGAATTAACCCAGGGAGCCCCTGGAAAGAACATACCTCCCTCCCCTGAGCAAAGACATGCACGGCTCTCGGGACGTGCAAGTATAGCCTCCCGGTGGCCGAATGCTCAAGTGAACTTTCTGAATGGTAGGCCAGCGCACGCTGGGTGCAAATACACAGCTTACACACAAAATTAAACAGTCAGGAAAGACACTGAATGATCAACATTATGTAATTTGCAATTTCCCAGCTCTTCACATCCCGGGTTACATTTGTAAGTTAATATTTCACGAGTGCTATTTCGGTCGGCTCCGCTAACACGTCGAAGTCAAACACTGCCTGTGCAGAGCCCTGTGGAGACGCCGGGTCTCAGGAACGTGGAAACACAGGCTGTGGACTTTCTGCTTTTGCGGGGAGGGGGGGCGGGGAGAAGGTGTGGCTGCAGGTGATGAGAGAGCTCCTTGCAGACCCACAGTGTTTTCTGGCTGAGCACCCTTTGTCATTTGTTCTTCACTGTCACTTTTGAGGTCCGAAGGGCAGGAATTATGTTTATGGTAAGAGGAATATGATTTTTTAAAAAAGTGAACAAAGAGTGTCACAAAAACATTAAAGCTCAATTACACCAGAGTGCCCCCCCACCCCGTCCATGGGGCAGAAATACATTGCATTGCTTAATCGATAAAATGATAAACCACATTTGGATAAAGTGCTCATTAACTAGTTTGCCACCTATAATGACTTCAGAGACGTTACTCTTCCTTCTCTTATTCGTCTTCAGTAGAAACATTTTCATCAAAACGGGGTATTTGGCGCTGAAGAGTTCTCCCGACACTGCTACTTACTCACCAAATAGAGTCGTAATCCTTAGTATGTAACTGCAAAATCCTTTACACAATAACCAGTCGCTTCCCTGAAGAGGATTGTGATTTCAGATGGAGAATAAGCTGCTGAAGGAAATTAACTCTTGAGAAATGAAAGTCCTGTTTCTGTGCACTTGGAGGCAGGAAAAGAGAAATCCGGGGGCTGTCACACAAATGCCGAAGCACCCTTCATTCCGTGTACAGAATGTCAGGACCAGACGGTTACTACGAGCTCACGGGGAGAAGATGGGGTGGCTCGGGGACTCTGGAACCACTCAGCAATCCTGCCTGAGAGGCCACAGCACTTTAAGGCCTCCCGAATCCCCTCTCTGATACCCAGACCATTTCGCTTACTTTCCCCTTTAGACTTCTCATGTGCTAGCTGCATCCTAAAAGATTTTCTGCCTTTTGCACTTGAAGGAGGGGGTAAAATTTCACAGATAAAAGGAAACCAGCACCTATCATTTAATTTGGAAAAAAGGAAACACAGATACATTATCTGGAAGCAGTCTGTGTATTCCCATGATCCGACTGCTTGCCTTCCAGGTCAAATTAGCAATGGTCATGGGAGCAGATCCACAAGAGCATAAATATGCCTGTCAAGTCTGGCGAGTCCTCCATCTCGTCCTGTGCTTTGTCTCTCTGGGGGTGTCAATGAACAGAGGGCGGGTGGCTGTGTGCAGGTAAAAGAGTTTGGTGACCAGGGTCTCGGCTCTGAGTCCCAGCGACACTGACAGAGAAGCTCGAGCGAGTTGCATCAGCCCCCAAGTCTACCCTTTCTCTCCTGGACCACGAAGCACGAGAGAATACCAGTGAGGGGTTGTTTTAAAAGCTGAATTAGACCATGGATGTGGATGTACGTTGTAAACAGTATCATTAACATCCTTGCACAAACTGAGGTACCCATGTATCTGGAGGAGGGGAAATGGGAAGGGGGCTCCCCAGTGCACCCCATACGAGGGCCACGGGCTTCCAGCTGCACAGCCATCAATATGTGTGGTTCGAGTCCTTTGCATCTGTCCTTTCATTTGAGGTGAACATCAGATGTGCACGGCCTTCTGGGAGCAGAGCCCGAGACAAAGATTCTTGCATAAATGATTATGGAGGGAGCACTCTCAGGAGGCAACCTGTGAGGAAGCAGGGTTGCGGCGTGAAGCGGGAGTGCCAGACGCAGCCGTATCTCATGGGCTTGAGTGTCAGGAAAGGGGCTGGCCTTCTGTAACCCATAGCAGTCAGTCCTCAGCTGTGGGCTGCACACCCCTTCCTGCTGCACAGAGTAGGGTGGGATGGGGGCATCATAATCTTGCAGGCATTTCCAGGTGACGTGGCTCTGCTGGCAGAGGGCAGATACTCCAAAGGGGCAGCTCTGAGCCACTGGCAGCCGACCTTGACAGCTGGTGGGGAGTGTGTGCAGTGGCCCGGGTGGGTGATCACTAGCATTTATTGCAGACGAGGAAACTCA